GTGGTCGTAGTAAGGATCACGGTGGTTGTTATGGCAGTGAGATGGTTGTCGAGAAGGTGAATGGAATGAGATTTTATCCACTTATAGGATAATAATGGATAATTTATAAAATATTACTTCATAATTAGTTAAATAGCAAAACGCGTTTCCTATTACACCTCGAACTGAATTGGGAAATCAGGCTCCTTTGCTTATAAAAAGAGTGTAGCATATCGGTATTTGATTAATTTGCTCAAATCAGATTAATTGGGAAACCAGGCTCCTTTGCTCAAATCAGATTAATTTTCATCGAAAGTTCCAAATTTTCAATTTTCCACATATGGATCCCGGTACGTTTATAACTCTTCCTTTGTATTTTGTAAGAGCGATTAATATCCGAGTATGATTGATATTCTTTTCTTCTCTTTTTGTGTGATCAAGTTAATGAATTAATCACTTACGGCTCTTTCGTTCAATATAAAATTCGTCTACTTTTCTCTGTGGTATCCTGTAAAATCTCGATCTTTTCGAAATAATGATTTTTTTTTTATAATTAATTAGTTTTTGGATTGTGGACGACTGATTTATTATATAGCCCATGTATGAATGTTGTTAAATAATAATAAAGATATAAATAAATATCTGTTTATTATGTGTTCTTCTTTTGCTAAATATGTATAAGTTCATATGTTTAGCCCCTCGTAAAGCTTGAAACTATCACAATACAATATATTACCTTTCACGTACTGCTTGCCTTCTTGATGTATATATGTATATGCACATATTATAATTTTTCTGTTTTATAAGTTTTTTGCCCTTATTAGTTATCGCCACACAAACACAGATAATATTTAGGTTCTTAAAATATTAGCATTGGGACGATTTCGTGCTTAGTTTGTGTTTTAAGATTTTTAAGATTTAAGATGAGCTATCCCTAAGTGATCATCATCATATTCTACTTATCTATATCCCAAAAATTGAGGAGGGATATTTGAAACTTGACAGAGGTATCTATGCATACATGATTTTCAGCAAATTACAAATTCTAATTTTGAAGAACATGTGTGCTTCCTTTGTATTTTGTAAGAGCGATTAATATCCGAGTATGATTGATATTCTTTTCTTCTCTTTTTTGTGTGATTAAGTTAATGAATTAATCACTTACGGCTCTTTCGTTCAATATAAAATTCGTCTACTTTTCTCCGTGGTATCCTGTAAAATCTCGATCTTTCCGAAATAATGATTTTTTTTTTTATAATTAATTAGTTGTTGGATTGTGGACGACTGATTTATTATATAGCCCATGTATGAATGTTGTTAAATAATAATAAAGATATAAATAAATATCTGTTTATTATGTGTTCTTCTTTTGCTAAATATGTATAAGTTCATATGTTTAGCCCCTCGTAAAGCTTGAAACTATCACAATACAATATATTACCTTTCACGTACTGCTTGCCTTCTTGATGTATATATGTATATGCACATATTATAATTTTTCTGTTTTATAAGTTTTTTGCCCTTATTAGTTATCGCCACACACACACAGATATATATATATATATATATACACACACACACGCGCTAAGAATATTTAGGTTCTTAAAATATTAGCATTGGGACGATTTCGTGCTTAGTTTGTGTTTTAAGATTTTTAAGATTTAAGATGAGCTATCCCCGAGTGATCATCATCATATTCTACTTATCTATATCCCAAAAATTGACGAGGGATATTTGAAACTTGACAGAAGTATCTATGCATACATGATTTTCAGCAAATTACAAATTCTAATTTTGAAGAACATGTGTGCTTAAGTGAATACATTTATTAAATTTCAAAATTTATAATAGCATTTAGACATAGTACATTCAAATTCATATTTAAATTTGTGATTTTTTTAAACCTTTAATGCTAATCTAGTTCATTTATTTCTGTAGATTGGGCAAGGTTGCCAAAGCATTTATTGGACATAGTTTTAGAGAAATTGGAGTTATCATTAGATTATTTGCAATTTGGTGTTGTTTGTCTTCAATGGCATTCCATATTGAAGGATAGTCAAATTAAACGGAGTAAAACATTGCAATATCATCATATTCCAATGCTTCTAATTCCCAGCGAAGAACAAACATGGAGCATATACAATACACTGGACAACAAATTCTTGGGCACAAAACTTTTTGTACCATATAACAAGCGTTTTTCTGGCTCTTCACAAGGATGGTTGGTGGCTGTAAATAAGGATTGGACGGTAACGCTTTACAAACCTTATTCTATGGTTAAAGGAGGAAACAACATAGATACTAATATTCTTCTTCCATGCCTGTTTCCTCCTGATTTAGAAGGCTTTTTTGATCCAGATGGTATAATAGATTATGCTGAAGTCTATGATTACCATATTGAGAAAGCTTTACTTACAGCTGATCCGCTAACAAATCCAAATGAATGCATGATTGTGGTGATATTTGGCGAAATGCAGGAGTTAGCTATTTTTAGAATCGCCAAAGATACAACATGGACTAAAATTAATGGTTATGATCATGACAACAAGCAAATTATGTTAGAGATAAAAGATATCTGTCACCATAATAATCAAATTTATGCTGTAGATGTTCATGGTGTACTTAGATCTTTTGATGTTACAAATCCATGCAATCCCACTGTAAATTTGGTTGCACCTAGGAGAGCATCTGATCACTCCTCTGTCAAGAGATATCTTGTGGAGTCCTATGGAGGAAAGCTTTTACAGGTCGAAAGGCATTTAAGTTGGCGTAACGAAGACGATGGTCGTGAGACAAAGAGGTTTAGAGTTTTCAGATTAGATTTTGATAGAGCAAAATGGATTAAGATAAAAAGCCTTGGTGATGTATCTTTGTTTTTGGGTGATAATTCTTCAATATCTGTCTTGGCTTCTAATTTTATCGGTTGCGAACCAGATAGTATATATTTTACTCACGACATAGATGACACCGATGTACTGGGACAAAATGTCATGATTTGTGATGTGGGTAATTACCATGTCAAGAGCAGGACCTTTAAATTACACTACAATATAGATTCAAAAGTTCTTATGAAAATGAATAAACGACCTCCAATTTGGGTTGTGCCCACACTTAATACATATTAGGAATCTGTTTCTTATTCTGGTTCCCATTATTACGTATTATTAATCTATTGTTCAGTATTATTAATCATCTTTTTACAAGACTGATCGTTTCTCTCATTTACCATTATTTTATATTTGTTCACGTTTTGTTAGTCGTCCGTGTTGCCTATCTTTTTAAAATAAAATAAAATATTTATATCATGGGTCCCTAATTTTATAAGCCTGTTCACTTCGCTGAGTTGAGTTTGTAATTTGAGTTGAGATGTGATTTTATGTGAGAGCTTTTTACTGTAGTAAAAAAATTAGATGTGACTGTTTCTGAGAACTTTTTACTGTAACAAAATCTAAATTCTAAACTCGAATCGATAAAGTGAACGGAATCTATAATTTTATAAATGTTATTATTATCATAAGTATTATAATTATTTATAACTCACAAAAAAAAAACTATAACAGAATATTAATTATATTAAACGATATAATAATAAAAAAACAATAATTAAACTAGAGATTAAAAGTTTTCATAAAATTGTTAAACTAATGCACTAATTTTATTATTCTTCCTCGTCATGAAGCTTTATCCAAATTTCAATGGGTAGCTTTCCCCAGTTCCACAAATACTAGCTCGTTGATTCTTGATAGTCTCCCAGTCTCAAATGCCTTAGAGAATAAAGAGATTTTGGTGGGTCCCACGTTCTTGTTTGATTTCAATTTTTTGATTTTTTTTTTTTCCCTTTTTTTTTTTTTTTTTTTTTTTTTTTTTTTTTCAAGACTGGAATAGAAAAAATCGTAGAGTTGACTTATCAGGGAAGATGCAAATAGAAATCAATGAATGGTCAAGGCGTAGGTTTTGTATAGTACAAGGTGATGTTGGTGCAGATGAGGGTGACTACATGAAGTGGTACCTAAAAATTACCCGTAAATTTGTAGAGCGGCCTCTACGTCTCTCAGTGGAATTTCAAAGAGCAGTAAGGCTGAGATAGTTTGTGTTTATCATGATTTAAGGAATGTTATTTGCTGCAACAGAAAAGCAAATAACGTATCAATTTGAGACAATATGTTTTGTTTTGAATGCTGCAGATTGCTGGCTTGAGAGAAATTACTCTTATAGCAGACTCATTCTCTACAGAAGGGTTGGATCCTCAACAAGTTGAGTTGGTTCGTCGGGTCGGGTGTACTGCACATGAATGTTTGAGGAAGCAAGTTGGAGATCCAGCCATTGTGGACTTCTGCCCACAAGTTGATGTTGGAAAAGGGATAAGAGGAAAGGAGATGGTTATCAGAAAGAGTACTGAAAGTCTTTTGCGGAAGGACGAGCTGATGCCATTGCCATATAATGTGGCTAGCAAGGATAGAAATTTTCATTTTTGTATCTTGTTTTATCTTTCAAAGTGAATTTAAAAAATTAAAAATTAAAAAAAAAAAACCCTTGTTAGCTAGTTTTATTTTGAAATATTTGATGTAGTTATTGTTGTCATGAAGACCAATAAGAATGGGGTAACACTATAACATTTGGTTTAACAGGTAACGATGAGCAAGAAGAATTGCAAGACGAGGTACAAGTTGAAACTTATTCGAAATGCAACATCGAGCAAGATGACACCCAAAATTTACAAGATGGGATGGCAGTTGATGTAGTTTGCACACCTAACATTGAGCAAGAAGACATTCCGAATTTGCCTTTTGTGAAAAGCTCTCCAATTTGGCAAATAATTGAATCAATGGATGTATTCAGTCAACTTCCGCAGACTCCCCATTTCCGTCCGTTGGTAAAGTGCAAGGAGACGAAACGTGAAGGAATAGCTATTGGAAAGATGATAACCTTTGCATCTTCGATTGAAAAGGTTTCTGAGTTAAAAGAAGATGATTCCGGCGAATCTTTTGATAGCGTTATTGAAGAACTGGTCAAATTGGAAGAGTTTGGATTTGACATCAAGGCATCGAACTTAGAAAAACTTCAAGACGAGTCAAAAGTTGTTGAAACTCAGATCACAGAATGTAAGGGTGGAAGGAACAAAATTGATGGAGAAGTTGATGAGATTATCAAGAAGATCAAGATATTAGAAGAAAAACGGTCAATGCCAATGTCTGAAAGCATGGAGAGAGGTTCCAAATTTAGCAAGCTACTGTTAGAAGCCGCTGCTATCAATGAAGACATTTTGACTACACGGAGAAGTTTGAGAAGCCTCTTTACGTGTGATGATTGGTGACTGACCATGGAGGTTCTTTAATATACATATATGTATATATATGTTTTGTTAGTTAGTATATGTATGTATAACAATGAAGAATGTCCTTATCATGTTTTATGGATCTATGTTCATCTGTTTTATTCCTAAATATATGATATGCTAATACCTGTTAGAATTCAAATTTTGTTAGAAATACTGTAGCAGAAAATTTTTAATTTAAATTAAAACCGAGGTGGTTCGAATCCGCGTTTGGTACGAGGCCTTAAAGGTTCTGCTTGGTTATTAGATAGCTTATGGAACTAATGTGCCTTCTTTGCTTCTATCGTGGATAGAATTCTTTCCACGACCAGTTATGGAAGTCAAATGGGTGGACCCTTTCTCCCTAGTATTTATTGGCGGTGTAGGGTAGTACATCAATATTTCATGTGGCATATATTTGTTTCGGTTTCATTTATATGATTCACATGTAACAGGGTCAAAAAAAAAAATCTCACAAATGGTTCACACTTTAATCTTTGACTTTTAAAAAAAATATAAAAAAATAGAGAATTTACTCTTATGAGTACATAAGTATGAACTTTTACTCTTTACTCTTGATAAATATCATTTTATTAGTATAATTATTTGACTAAAAAGGTTATGAATTAAGAATAAATAATAAAAATCTTGACTTATATATTTTTAAGGGGTATTTGTCAAGATTATCCGATTGGAGAAATTTGCAAAAACTAATCCTTAAACACATCCTTTTGGAGTTCGACCCTTTTGTTGTGATAGGCTGTCATTTTGATAATAATCTATCAAATTATAGATAATAATTTGTTAAATTTTAGACAATATTCTGTTAAATTAAGCCCACCACTGGTGACCGGAGACCGCCGCCGGTGACATATGTCGAATTATCGACAATAATCTATCAAATTACTTAATCAAAGGGGCAAAATTCATGCCAATATTGAGACCCAAAAATCCTTAATGGTACCATTTTGAAGGGCATTCGTTAAAAGTACCTGATAGATTGGTATCGAAAAGAGAAGATTGAGGTCTGAGGCCTAATGCTATTGGGCACTGGTGGTGCTCAACACCACCTATTAATAGAATGTGAGTCTCGCAACGTGAGACTCACAGGTGGAGCCTCACTTTTTATTAGTGGTAGTGCTTAGCATCGGTAGTGCCCCTAAGCAGTTTTTGAGGTCTAAAGTTGGACTGTAGAGTGGGGACCAGAAGAGGGTACTCAATGGTGAACACAACCTTACAGCAGCCTTATATATGATGATCTCCTTTCTTATGTGAAAAATACTTTAGGACACTACATGTATTAAATACCATCACTAATAGAAGGTGTGCCTTATTTATGATCCCACACCATGAGATCCACCTTTTATTAACTATTACAGTGCCTTACAGCATTGCTCTTCTTATGTTTCAGATGTGTGTTGATGATACGACTACTGGCGAAGCTATATGGGGACGAGTGGTGGTAGTCAGCCCCACTGACTTTTTTGAAACTAAAATTTAACCCCTTAAAAATTTTAACATTTTAATTTTGTCCCCACTAAAATTTAATATATTTATATATGCTCCCATTAAATTTTATTTTTTCTATTTTGTTTCTATATGCTTTCTACAAACAACTTTACTTATATATGTGTATGTGAGCTTTTCTTTCATCTTTATACCCTGCATTTTGAGATTAAAAAATATACACTTCATATTTTATAAATTATATCTCATTTATAACTTCACATTTTAAATCATGTTAATTACTTATGCATTCTCGATCTAATGAAAAATATCCTAATATTTTAATATTTTTTCTTATTATTCATATCTTATTGAGGTTATTTAGGTTAATTTTTTTATCAAGATTGACCGGTGGCCGATCATTCGATAAAAGGTAAGAATTGAGCATAAGTTTGAAATCTAAAGATATAGATAAGATAAACTCCAAAACATCGGGTATGATCTTTTTTTTTATAACCTCAAAAAGAAATATAAAAAAAAAACTCTATGATAGCATATTCTTATTGATCTAATCAAAATCACATTAAAGTAAAACATATGCAAAATGAATTTTTTTTAATACAAACATGACGTTTCAAGACAAAGCCGTCTCAGTAATTTTTTCCCATATTGTCAAGTTCTCTAAATGTATTTAGAAATTCTTCAAAAATACTATACTACAATATTTTTATATATTTTTTTCATGTTATTTATGATTAAAAAATAGTGTACCATTACGCCCCCTATAGAGATCGAAAGCTGTCTTTATGTTTCTGAATTTGAGAGGAATTTGTTGATTTCTAACAAAGCTGCCACTACATATATAATAGCATTAAATGCACCCCACACATATATATCAATGATCTCGTCTTGTTTTCTGCTATATACAATGATCAATATGCATGTAAGCAGTGGCAGAGGCAGAATTTTATTTTAAGAGGGGTATAAACTAAAAATTTGAAAAATGTTATAAACGCTAATAATATTAACACCTAATATTATTAGCCAGTTGAAACCATGTTTTATACTTTTATATTTATCAGTTTATTAAATATTCTGATACCTGAATTAAAATTTTACAGAGTTTAATTTAAAAAGATTTTGAAAAAAAAAAAACAGTGTTGATTACTTCAACAAGAGTAAATTAGAGAAAAGATATTCACGTGAAAACAGTAATTAAGAGGGTTGCTTATAAAAATGCATAATTAGAGACACATTTGGGAAGTGTAATTTTAAAGAGCCATTTAAATTTTTCTTGTGAGACTTACTTTTCATATATAGAATAAAGTTTATTTGAAATATATATATATATATTAGAAGGGAAAAATTTGAAAAAAAAAAAGTTTTAACTAGAGTAAAGTAAAGAAAAAAAATTCAATTAGATTACACCAAAAAGTATAAGATTTAATCTGAAAAGCTCAAAAGAACAATATAAAAAAAACCAAAAAGTAGGGGAAAAAATATTTAAATTAGATTTAGTGGAGATATTATGAAAATCTATAGGGTGAAAAATAAAAACCCAAAAATCAAGGGGGCATAAGGGGGTATATATGGAAAAATCAAAAAAATCAAACCCCCCCCCCCCCCCACAATTTTAACAACTTTCCCCCCCCAATGATTTGTACGACTTTGTCTGTACTTTCTTTACATGATTTGGTCATGTTTCAGCAATGTCATGTGCTTTAGTCATCATGTTATTTTATGCGGAAAAATAATTAGAAGCACCACTAGTGTTGAATATCATCATTAATAAAATATAAACCTATTTGTAAATAATGGATGGTGTTTAGCATCGTCGGTGCAATTATAGCATTGCTCGTGGTTGCTACGTTCTATAGTCCTTTTCAAGAAGTCATGTAGTGGTTCAGTTCTGTGTTTGACCTTTTATAATTGAAAATAACATGCCATTACATGCATGCAAGGTTTACCAGTCAAGTCCCATGACTTCTTACAAGAGCAAGACCTAGTGGCCAAATCTTACATATTTCTCCCCTTGTGCACGGTTCACTTAACTTAATTCTCTTGACCATTCCAATATGATATATATGCAAAATGCACTCTCCCTTTTGGCTATATATCTCAATAATATTAAATATCTTCGGAGCCAAAACATATTCTATTTATCAACTGATTGAATTTGTTGACTCCACCACCACATTATCTTGCCATCGTGAGCTATATATATGCATATACATTTTCCATTGTAATCCAATTGAATATATATTTTTAATTGGACATAAGTTATACTTCTTTTATCTAATCTACTCATCTACCATATATACCTTTCAAATTATTAAGCATGCATCTTATGTTATTAATCTGATTACAGTATTACACATATGTGGATCCATTAATTAGCAATGCTGCGCCCCAATCTTTAAATTGCACACTATAAAAGACATTAATTTTACAAGTAATATGTTTCTCTTTGTCGCTCTCGATATGCACACACATATTTCATGTTCTTCTTTTATTTGTACTTTTTCATAATTAATTTGTCTTATTCCAAATGTAAAAGTGGGTAACGAATTAATGGATATTATTACCCGGAAAAAAAAAAAGAAAAAAAAAAAGAAGAAGAAGAAGGAGAAAGTCTGATGATGACATTAATTCGTTTCATCTAATTACATGAGAATTAAAAAAAATAAAAAACAAAAACAAAAAGATCTGTCCGAATGCATCGAGGAACTCAAAACAAAAATCAAAAGAACTTAAAACAAAGGAAGGACAGAACCGGATTTCGCCGTGTATATACGTACGAAATAGTACTTCTAAATTCTATTGAGGTGGATAAAGTGGGGACCACCGCCAAGGAGTACTCTCTGATGGTGTCCCTGGCCAGAAATATTGGTGATTGTACCACTCTGAATATCTGCCACGTATGTTCCTGCATATGTAAAACCGATTTTCACGTTAATCATCGCAAATCGAAGGAAGATTGAAATGTATTAGAAACCCATATCGGATCAATCTTTGACGCTAAACATTTTTACAATCTTTGGCCATATGTGTGTTCATTATTGATGAGGACTATTGACACAATTAAAACCCAAAAGTAAGAAAGAAAACGCAATAAATTAAGAACACTAGGAAGATCGCAAGCGGATCATAAACAAAGAAAATGGAATTATAGGAACCATTGAGTGATCAAATAAACACTTCAGAAAAGAAAAGAAAAAAACAAAACAAAAACAAGAATAAGAAGAAGAAAGAAAGAAAAGATCAGACTTACCTCAGTTGTGAATAAGAAGAAGCCATTTATCAGTAAGGCGAAATCCGGAATCTGTTCTTCAGCAGCGAACTAGCGATGCAGTTCCTCAATTAAAGATGGCGTATATTTCTTGAAAAGAATTAAAGAAAGAAAACATGAAGAAGAAGAATGAAGAAGTCGAAACAGAATCTTCTTCACTGAAGAAACTTCCTCAAGCATGAGTGTCAAATGTTAGACAATCGTGAGCGTCGAACACGGCTTTCTCTTTGAACTTCATGCCACACAAAGAGCAGTTGGTTTTCTTCTTGTTGTGATGTCTTTTTCGATGATTGACCAATTGCTCCTGCGTGTCTGCTACGTGGTCGCATAAGGAGCAAGGGTAACGATGCATTGCCTCGTCGCCGTCCTCGGAGGAGGAGGAGGAAACCGACTCGTCGTCTGACATTTCTCTTCAGGAGCAGTACTTGGTGGAAAGAAGGAGACTGCTTCACTCTCTTTTTTTTTCTTTTTTTTTTTTTTTTTTTTTTTTTTTTGTCTGGAAGGAGATGGTTTTTTTCTTTTTGTTTTCTTGTCGTGTCATTCTTGATTTTTCACGCTTTTATAGTATGTCCACAGATCAAATAATTTAATTACCCAATTACCCTCTTTCACCAAATTACATTTTCGTTTTGTCGTTTTTAGAGTGTTTCTATCCCAAAAGGTTGTTGCCACCCTTCTATTGATTGTCATATTGATACGTAATCGTCTTTTTACATCATGAGTCCCTAATTTTATAATCTTTGACATTTCGGTCCACATTAATATCTCAGAGCCCATTTAAAAGGTGAGTTTAAACTAGGTAGTTTGAATCAAAATTCAAATAAACATTGTAAGAGATCTTTTTAAATTCAAAATTTTTGTGAGAAATAATATGTTAAGGTAGTTTGAACTCATCCTCCAAACACAACTTCAAACTCTTAATTTGTTCCCAATGTTTGTTCCCATTTTAAGAATTAAAGAATGAGGAGACTCACACCACAAATAAATGGGGTTTTTTCTTTTTGGATGAGTTTTGTTTAATCTTGTGTCATGTGAGTCCAAATGGGTTTTTCTTAAGAGCGTGGATAGTAATTTTCATATATTTTAAACTTAATTTCATGTTCTAAACAAAATTATGGGTTATTAGTACTGTTATTTCTTAAACTATAAACATTATTTCCTTGGTACGGGGAACGGAGATAAATAGTTCTTAAAAGTGTATGGTCGGGATTTTTATCCCTTATTCTTGATTAATAACCTTTTTAGTCACTAACAAAATGGTATTAATCATGAATAAAGGGTAAAAATTCATACTCATGCACTCTAAAGAGTAAATTTTATTTCTCATACTTTCTTCTTTTTTCTTCTATCCTCTTCGACACTGATTCGGCAAGATCATAAGTCCTCGTTAGTTTCGCTATTCGAGTTGAGAACTTGAGTTGAACAGTGAATTCCTAAGAGAGAAAACCGTGTACTAAAAAAGTTGAATTTGAATTTTTATGAGAGAAAGCAGTACTGTAGTAAAAAGTTTTAATTGTGATTCGATGAAAAATGCATTGCCTCGTCGCCATCCTCGGAGGAGGAGGAGGAAACCGACTCGTCGTCTGACATTTCTCTTCAGCAGCAGTACTTGGTGGAACGAAGGAGACTGCTTCACTCTCTTTTTTTTTTCTTTTTCTTTTTTGTCTGGAAGGAGATGGTTTTTTTGTTTTTTTTTGTTTTCTTGTCGTGTCATTCTTGATTTTTCACGCTTTTATAGTATGTCCACAGATCTAATAATTTAATTACCCAATTACCCTCTTTCTCCAAATTACATTTTCGTTTTGTCGTTTTTAGAGTGTTTCTATCCCAAAAGGTTGTTGCCACCCTTCTATTTTCCAACACCTCCGACCCGGAGGTCATCTTCAAGCTCTGCCTCCGCGTCGCCATTGATGAGCTCTCGAGGCTGTCCAAGTACCCCGACGAGCTCATAGCGAAGACCAACGACACGCGGCTGAAGGAGGCCCTCGGCGTCTGCAAATCCGTGTTGGACGACGCCATGGACAGGCTAAACGACTCCGTTTCGTCGATGGAGGTGAGGAAGGAGGAGAGGCTGCTGTCGTCTTCGAAGATCGACGACATGCAGACCTGGCTCAGCACCACGATCACGGATCAGGAAACCTGCCTGGACGCGCTCGACGAACTGAATTCCACAATTACTCCTCAATTGAGGACGAAAATGCAGAACTCGACCGAGTTCGCGAGCAACAGCTTGGCGATTGTGGCGAAGATAATCAGAGTGTTGGCGAAGCTAAACGTGCCGATTCACCGGAGGCTTTTAGGGCAAAGTGAGGATGGATTTCCCGAATGGCTCAGCGCCGGAGACCGGAGGCTGCTTCAGGATGATCAGCAGAACGTGTTGGACAAGAACAAGTGGAATGTGATGATGATTGGAGATGGCAAGACCAAGACTATTGTCTCTGGTAGCTTAAACTTCATCGATGGCACTCCCACCTTTCACACTACTACTTTCGGTACTATTCTAATTCCTTTTGCTCAGATAATTTTAACTTTCTCTGTGACATTTTATCTTGTTTAATATTGCTTATGACTTCCTAGTTCCTACTTATTGATTTTTTGTTACTTGTTAGTCCTTTGAAAATAATTGCATAGAAGCTATTAAACTTCTATTGCTTATGATTTCCTTTGAAAACATAAACAAGTGCTTGTTTGGTTCATAAATTTTATTGAATTGTGGTTTAAACTTGCGAAATAAACGGCACATTACTTTATCATTAGAGCTTGCCACACTGTAAATATAGTTAATTAGTCTTTCATTCGTCTGAAATGTGTCTTGTGATCGCATCAGAAGCACAAGGCACATATATAATGTTGATAGTTGGTGGGTTTTTATATTTATTTTTCTTTTTTGGGTGTGCCAGTACTTCCAATTTTTTCAATTAGCTTTGTCATTATACATATATCACAGAAATTCCATGTGACATGTGAAAACTTCATCTTAGGAGGGAAACTGTTACACAGCAGGCTCGCCTGCCGAAACTCCTGACCTGGTCAATTAGGGAACCATATGGTTTCAGTGTCAAAGTATCCCTTATATTCCCTCTTACTGTATCCTTATTTTCTTCTTTTCCTTTTCTTAGACCTTAAACAAAGTATAGTTGCTTTACATATTTTCTAATTCTATTAAATTGGTTTGTAATGCTGTCCACATAGAACCATGTGTGTGTGCAGACTTTAAAAAGTAAAACGCTGGCAAAAAATTCTCAGCTCGCGTAGTGAGGCACCCAGAGATCGGGATGAGTCAACAATTTACATTTTTATTTATCTTTTACATTCAAAAATTAATATATGATTTTTAGGAATTAATGCAACAAGCGGCACTATTTTTTTAGAAATATTCTAGTTTTTATGATTTTCTTTATTTTTCGTATTTAAAAAATAAAATATAATAAAAACGACGTCAAAAAATTATGAAATTTTGCATACATGATACTTACATTTTTCCAAGCATGCCTGCGAAAAATGGCCTCAAAAAATGACAAAACAAAAAGTAAAACGTTGTCAAAAAGCCCCCGGCCCGCGTAGTGGGCCGCCCAGGAGCCGGGATGGGTCAAAAATTTTCATTTATATTTATGTTTTGCATTCTAAAATTAATTTATGATTTTTAAGAATTAATGCAATAAGCGGTACAATTATTTGATGAATATTCCATTTTTAATTATTTTATTTATTTTTTGTATTTGAAAAATAAAATAAAATAAAAACGACGTCAAAAAATTATAAAATTTTGCAAACACAATCGTTAAATTTTTCTGGGCATGCCTGTAAAAAATGACCTAAAAAAAAGACAAAAAAAAGTAAAACGTTATCAAAAAGCTCTCGGCCCACATTGTAGGGCGCCGAGAGGCCGGAATGGGTCAAAAATTAACATTTTTTTATTTATTGTTATTATTATTTTTTTTTACTGAATGGTTGTAATTAAAAAGTTTTATTTTTCCCTGTCATTCAAACATACTGTTAAACGCTTTACCACAAGCTAATGTAGAGATATGTTGGAAAAATAGCTTAAAACCCCTTTCTTAAGATACTATTTTCAGGCTCGATTTTAAGCAAAATCCACTTCACGTTAGTTGATGGTTCAATTTGGATTTGCATTTTCCGTTTTGAAGAGATCAAAATTATATATTTATATGCTTAAAATGATGAACGGGTAAATTAGAATTGACTCTCAAAGTGCTCCTATGAAGTTGAAAAAACTGAAAGAAAAACTCCCAAGAATTTAGGGAAAAGTTAAAAGTCTTTTGTCGCACATCGGAAAGATACGA